AGCATGAATTAAACTAAGGGAAGAAAGTATTTCAAAACCAGAGCTAGGAGAGTTGTGGTAGATGATTTAAACTTGAACAGTGAGCAGAGTCTCTAGTGAAGGATGCTGGGATCTGAAACTTGTTATTGAGTTCAGACCTACAACCTTGGGCTGCAGTTACAACAAATTTCTAGCGCTATTTTGTGTAATTTGTAAGTTTTTTCTGCCGCCGAATGTGGTTTCTTGCTGGGAGCAGGTGGTGGACTTTGTAGCTTGACAAGATCTTCGGCCAACGTTGCATTTGCGGTCATTCAGGCATCAGTATGCTTCAGCTTAACTACTTCACATGAAGGGTTGTGCAAATATGTGTTAAGGCAGAAATGTTTACAGCTGGTTTGAATGGAAAAACATCAAACAGACCGACCGAGTTCAGTTCAAGTACAGAGAGACGTGAACAGCTAATGTTTAACTTATCATTGTTGCAATGAGGATGATAAAGAAGAGACATGATAAAATTGCTGACATGTCCAAATTTCAAGACATGAGGTGAAATAGTTGAATCTTCTTTGAAAACATTTGAAGTACCAAGTACCATGTATAAACTGTGCAAGATTTAGTATGATGTGCTTTCAAACATCTTTGGATGTTAAATGTTACCAGATGATGTTAGTGATGGTGAAATCAGCAGAGCACGAGCATGCAAAGCAGAACGAGGAAAACATTTGTTGTTTTAACCAAACTCTCATAAGTACTTATTTACCACTTTGTTATGAATGCAAACTACTTGGATTTTTTGGCACCAGTTAAAGAACTGTTTGTTACATCTTCAACAGCCCCTTGTTAAGTAACTATTAAGTTTCATATGAACATAAATAAAAGTGATGACATGTCTTTTAGACAGCCTTCGCAGCGGGAGGAAAGGCACTTCAGTCTGAGCAGTGTGAGGTCTGGGTCAAATATCAGGACTCAGACAGACCATCAACGCTCACCCACAGCTGATGACACCTGCCCAAACAGCTGTCACAGCCACGACTCGTTTCACTCTCATCATCATCAGTCGGCACAACCTGTACGACTGAACATTAGCACTTAACTACATCCTGCCGAACAATGTTTTCTATAGTGACTCAAATAAAGCAAAAAGTGCCAGATGCACAGAGATTTCCCTCAGTCCTGTGAAGGTTAAAAACAAACAGAAGACTCAGTCGACTTCTTGAACCACAGTCATTTCTTTAAATGTACTGAAGTCTGTAAAAGCTGCGGTAAGCATCAATTATTGCCTTGCAGTAAAGACAAGCAATGAAACAGCATCTGCAATCGGAGATTAATCTCATCAAAATGTGCTGGAAGGGCAATTTTAGCGTAATAAAAAAAATGAGCTTGATGAATCTGAAATTCAGTACCAATTACAATAACATTAAAAACTCCTCTGGGGACTCAGCAATACTGTACATCTCAGAAACCTGGCACATGCAGCCGCAGAGAAAAAAAATGAAATTGCCTCGATAATATATTAAGTGTGACACACTTGCTTTGCAGTTACAGTGTTATAAAAGCAAAGCAGGCTGGATTATTAAAGCTTGAATTATGATTTATGTGTTATCTCAGGAAGATTTGCAACCAAATGCACACATTTCATGAAACCAATCCAATTTGAGGCACGGTTGGAGAGCAGGCTGCAGCACATTTCTGGATTTATCAAGCAGACTTTTCAATATCACTTCATGGAGAAAATAAGAACGTAAGCATGCAACATAGATTATGCGATGGCTAATGCTTTTCCACTCCTAAATATGAAGAGATCAAATTCTCGATCGATTCGAAGCGAGGCAGGAAAAAGAGGGAAATACACGACTTCTAATCAGCAACCTTGCAGTGATTCCGCCTCCCTCCTTTTTCTCTCTGTCTGACAGAGCGTTTCCCCAGAGCCTCAGCTCAAACTGCAGAACCGCTCTGTGTGGCAACTGTTGAACAAAATGGACTCTCAAAAGAAGGAGAGAAAACCCCCACAGGAAAACAGAAGAGGAAGAAAATCAATGCAAGGAAAGGGATTTTAAAATAGGAGAATTCAAGGAGGTAGGAACAAAAAAAAAAAAAAAAGGACAAGGAAAAAGGAAAAGAGAGAGCAGGAGGATGAGGGAGACTGAGAGAGAGAGAGAAACAGAGGAAGGGAGGATTGGGCTACAATGAAAAGATCAATATCAGAAAAGCATCTGAAACTCAAATTGTCCTTATGTTTCATTTGATCCAAAGACATTTATTTCTGCACGTTTTAGCGAGCACAATAATCATGGAGGCACAATAAACAAAAAAGAGTCTGGTCTGAGTCCCACAGTAAAGGGCTGCTGTCTGGATGGTTGCAGTGGAGGCAGTGAGGGAGACAGGGCTTGTTAATGAGCACACTGGGAGAGTCTGCCTTGTTGTTTTGTTGAGTGTTATTTCGAAACATTGCAACCAAGAGACTTGGGCGGGAAGTTAACTCAAGCTGTCAAAAAATCTTTCAATCTGGGTTAATTGCTCAGGGAGAGGGAGTCTCATGATTATCATTTGAGTTTTTTTTTCTTTTCATTATGTCTCAACAAATATACCTGCGTACATGTTACTTAATTTGAGTTGGAGAGCATTTTTATTTGTTTACGCAGTGTTTTCACAGTTGCTGCAATAAGACTCTTTCTTTTGGTCTTTCTTTATCTCACTTAAGCATAGATAATCAGCCCGTAACGGCCCAAGTTCAAATCTCAGACTGTTTACTCAAGCTACTTATCTTAGTCCCTTGTCTCAGCAGATCATTCTTGGAGACAGTTTGGGAGTACACATTAATGATGAGGGATAATGGCAAAAAAAAACAATCTGCGCTGTTAGAATCTGTAAAAACAAATCACACTGCTCATGGGTGGCGTTTCAGCACGTGTGAGGCTGTTTTTGTCAAGTAGTATCAGGCAGGAAACAGCTTTTGCTGCTGAGAGGCAAGTGTGAAAATGGACGTATCATTAATCCTATAGGTCAGGTCTATGTGCTGTATAAATGCTGTAAAAGCAAAATGCTGAATCTATGGAGAAATGCGCACAGCGCCTATTCAGCCTTAAAATGAGCTGTCAGCACCTCCGTAAATTGGTGATGTCACAACGAAACACCCTCAGCTATGCCACGAGCACAGCCCACCTGGACCCACTGTCTACCCTTTTTTGTTGTTGTTGTTTTAACTTTATTAACAATACTACATCAAGTGGTCATTCTGTCGCTGAGCTAGCAAGCTACAAGACGGAAAAATGTCAATAAAACTGCTCAGTTGTTGAATGTCATGAAGCCGATACGTATATCATTGCACAACTTTCCCACGGACAGTAATTTTAGACCAATGGATAAAGTAAAGTTTTTCTAAAATACCAGAGAATTTTAGTCTGAAATTGATCGTCTGTTCTGCTCATTTCATCGCTGACTGACCACCGTCACTTGCCATTACTGGTAAGTTTTACCAAGCTACAGTAGTAAGCTACAGTCCCTTAACTGTGATTGGCCTGGCCATGTGCCACTCAGAAAAACAGTCAGCCAATCAAAAGAGAGGCTCTGAGACCAACACACAACGCCCTGTTCTTGGCAGAGCTCCAGAGAGAAGCATGAAAGAGGAGATGTAAAATTATTTTGAGATGGTTTTTGGAACTTAAAAGCACATTTATATCTTCTTATGAATTTCAAAACTTCAAATAAAACACCAGAGAAGTGTAAAGTAAAAAGTATATAAAGGAACACGTGAAATTGAGAAAAGTAAAAAGTTTATTAAAAAATAAAATGCACAAAAAGAAATCCATTAAAAGCACACAATTGAGAAGCATAGCCATAATGCATCACTCCACATTTTAATCAATTTGTGTCACCTCAGGATTTTCTAAAACGTCTTTTCTTCCATCAAGTTTCATTTGCAAGTTATTTTCCTTCAAAAAGATTTTCCTCGGGGGCGTGCGGCAACTTATTTCACCATTAATTAACAAATGACGGTGTGGATGAATCAGGCTCAGACCAATAATAACACTAGGGTTGAATTGAGATTGAGTTAAAAAAATATATATATGTTGATGTTAAAATGATCTGCAGCAGCTGCACGATGACGGGAGCAAAGGAGCAGGTCAGGTGATGTTGTTGTAGAGCAACAAAGTCTATACAGGGCAGAGGTTGGTTAATGGATGAGACACCAAAACATTGGCTGTTAACCTAGGAGGCGAATGTTCATTTCCAATGTTTATCACCATAACCACGATTTTTTCCTAACCGTAACCATGCATTTATTATTGTAACCATGACAACAAAGGTCACCTAACTTTAATAGAATATCTCATCCCTTTGTGCCTAACCCTAACTAAACTTGAGGCACTGAGTGTATAAGATAGTCCTAATGTTATCACTGTCCACGAACAGTGCTCCAGTTCCTCATACTGTGCCACTGAAATAACACAGAAAAATGTCTGCATGTGATGGATATTCCTTCCCCGCCACAGCAGCAGGAATAACCTCAGGTCAGCATCAGCAGACTCTGCATTATAACCACTCATACGTAAAACTAATGATGTGCTGAAAAGCAGAGGATGAAATTATTCTGTTGAGTTGGCATTGTGTTATTTTCCACCTCGAAGATAGTGTAAAAAGTACGACACCACATAATATCAGAAAGTCAGACTAAATTCATTTTTTTGTTAATTACCTGGAGTTCTGTTTTTAAAATCTATTTTCCTTTGTTGCACAGGAATCCAGAAAAAAAAGAGTTATTCCCAGAAACAACTTTAACATCACAAGAAAACCCTAAAACCTAAATAATGCATTATCACAAATGTAACCTCAAACTACCGGGGGAAAAATCTTCCCAGAAACAGGCGACGGACTTGTCCCAGACTTCCTCTAAGTCTAGTATTTCAGAGCGACTCTGTGGAGGATTATGATTGGCATTGATGCTTATGGCGAGGATGTGTTTACTGTGGCAGGAACTGTCGATCTGAAGACTGATGGCACAGCAGAGAGGACACACTCACCAGGCCTGAGACTTCCTCCTGGGCACGCTCTGTCTCGTCCACTTGGAGTGAGGGGTCAGGTGGTAAATCAGTTGCCGGCAGATCTTGTTGGTGGACTTGAAGGAGTCAGTCTCCTGCAACACACACACACACACACACACACACACACACACACACACACACACAAGGATGGATGATGAACAGCACAGACAAAGCTAGTTCACATGACAAAAAGCAGAAGTCATTTATAAATGCCGGATCTCTGCTCCCTTTCTTTATTGTTGCAAGCTACTGATGTTCTGATTTTCACTTGGTCACAAAGCGTTTCTTTCTTGTCCTTTCAAAAACAGCTGCTTCAAACATTTCCTGCATCGAAACATTAATTTAGTTTCCCTTTTGCTTCTGTCTTCCTCCGTGTCTCCTCCTCCTCTCTGCCTTCTCTTTCCTCTCTTCCTCCTCCGTCAAAGACTTTAAATGGAATGGGTTGTGCTGAGCAGGCTAAATCTAATTAATGGTACAACACGACAACAAGAAAAAGGCAATGTGGCGAGAGAGAGAGAAAAAAAGAAAGACAGGGGCAATTTACCTTAAGGCGATTAACCATTCCCGCTGCCACTTCTTTTCTTGGGCGATAAACAAACATGCCTCATACTTCAAAACGTTCTGTGCTGCTGTTTCAGCCACTTGGATGACTGAACACGATGTTACAGCAGCGCATACTGATTTGCTGTGTGAAAGTATTATTAGAAAACTGTGGTGTGGAAGAATCAACAAAGTCCCTAAATGTGCAGAACTGCAACTCCGTTAGCATTGATAGAAAAGAGTGCATCGAAACAAAATATGCATTAAATTAACTGTCTGTAACTGATGACCATGAAATTCAAAACACTCATAAATTACGCCCTCAATATGCGCTCGAAGATAAATCTCAGTGTGGTGGAAACTAGTTGCCACAGAAGCTGCCAGGCCTTAAATCCAGCACACTGCCTCTCTACATCCTCGTCACGTCTGACACAGTATCCTGCCACGGGTCACCGGCCAGCCAGGAGAACATCACTGCCAGCGACTCACTCTCCCTCCCGTCCTCCTGGGCTTTCCTGTTTCTTACAGGTGATTATTATCTGAACTTGTTAAGTAAAAACTAGACCAGTGTGACTTTATCTTAAGGCAACCCATCTTTTCCTAAATCAGATAACGGAAGACTTTAGATAACTGTAATGGCCCCTGGGTCTGTGTTTTACAGCTTCTCTCAGCTGCTTGTGTAGCGTTATCACCCTCATACTTGAGTTTGAAATGTAATTTGAATTTTAATATGTCTGATTTGTATGCCACGCTACAAGCGGATGAACTGACTCTCAGTTTGGATAAATCAAAATTTATATCTTAAAGGACCAGTCCTTCATTTTATACATTGGGATCCACTTTCCCATAGGAGTGAATGGGAAGGTGCTCTCTGACCCTGATATGCATAGTTGAAGAGTTTGTCTTAATGATGAAAGGTTCAGGCCTGTTATACTGCTGAGTTTATGAATGTTACTGATACGAACAAACCTTTTACAGCATCAAAAACCATTAATAATTAACATTAGTCTTTACCTGTCAATTGATTTCAGAATGACAACAGATTATAATCCTTTGTTTTGAATAATAGTGCTGCACCGATCTTTTACTTCTGCACTGTACCTTTAGGGACTGTACAAAAATGACTGGCTTGGTGGACGGGGCTGAATCCTTTCACTTTGTAAAAAAAAAAAAAAAAAAAGCAAATCCCTCACAGGGATTATTCATGTTTTCTTTGAACCCTTTTATTGAATTGAAAAAAGAACAACCTGCAACATGTAAAAATAATATAACACTTTTAAATTGGTACAACTTCATTAACAATCATTTACCTTCAACCTTAGTGGAGCTTTTCATGTTCAGAACCAATGTACACGTTAATAAAACACCCATACACAGACAGGACTGTTCTCCTCTCCACATGTCAAAAGGTCAACTTTATGGTGCATGGCACAAATGGAAGTTGTCTTTTTGACGTACTAACTGTTTATACAGCAAAGAAAAGTAAGACTAACCCTACATATAGACAAAACTAAAACTGTCTATATGTAGGGTTCCTCTTCCCTCTTTCTCAACCCCGCTAATAGTTTTGTAAAGGTCCTTCCAGACAGTGAGAGGTGTCTGTAGCCTGGGACTCAACAGACTTCACAGCTCCAGAGGACTCCAGCAGCACCACGTCACCAGTTTGATCCCATTGGCCACCTACCATCTGTCACTGCCCTCAAAGTGCTCTCACTGTTAGTGCCAAAGCCCGGCCGCTCCACAGGCCTCAGTGACCATGGCCCCCAGCCCTGTTGACGTCAGTGTGATGACCACTGGGCAACTGCCTACCTTTGCCAGTAGGAAGCAACCAAAACCAGATCATCTCACACACCTGCAAGTCCACAGCTGGTGCCCATTTACCTCTGTGTGCTGAAAGAGCAGAGGAGCAGCAGGGAAAACACGACCACACAGTGCCAACTGCAGAGTCCAACCCTGACCCCGTACTTCCCTTTGGCCTTACCATTCATCCCTGACCTCTCTACCCCGCTATACCACACGCAGGTGTTCCTCTTTATAGCCGGGAATCAGGAGTAGCTCTCATTCTGATTTTCCACAGAAGATTTAAAAAAAAGAGTGATATGAGAAACTTTACAAAATGATTAAAGAAGGCTGAAAACACCCTCAAATAATCATCCAAAAAAAAAGTCAAATCAGTTGGATTCATATCTTACTTTAATGCAATGAAAAACGTTACTAACTCTTGATATTTAGCATCCCGTCCAAATTGCTACAATCACACAACATCAAAGAAGATACCAATTATGACTGTGGTTAATGATAAATGTTGTTTCTGTTGTCACACATGGATGATGAAAATGAGTAGTGTCCCATTTCACGAAGATTTCTGGGACACAACTTGTTATTCAGTTCATGAATATTATCTACAACGACAAGGCTTCTTGCATGGCAGGACGGCCTCCTGAGCACTAGCGGGACCTATTCTTCACATATATTGCACTTTATTTAGCCAATAATATTTTTCTATATTGTAATTTTACAATTGTTAACACTGTCAACTCTGCACATCTGTCCTGGAGGAATCAAGGCTCTAAAGATAAAGGGTGTTGTACGTTGGACAGATTTGGAGCTATATATATAAAAAAAAAAAAATTTGACTTGACTTTAAATGTTTTGCTGAGCCAATCACGTTTCCACTGTTAAACATGATCCAGTCAAATCTGTGAATAGTAGGTACGGTCCCTTCATAATAAAGGTCAATATGTCTGAAGACTGAACATATTTAGAGACAAGACATGCATAGCAATAGCGATCCATTACGCTAATAGTTAAACAACTAAAATAACATTTTCCATGTTTCCTAACTTCTGTCGTTGTTTTTGAGGGAAGCATACTGACAGTTCATTGTTGTCACAATGGCATGACAACAAACATGACGCATGCACTGAAGCATGGAGAATAAATCTGGACATGTTGCAGCTTCCCTCTGTTCTGTTTTTGTCCCGTTAATGAATGTGGAGTCTGTTGTGTTTGGGACAAAGAGATAGTTTTTTACGACTCCTACCCTCTTTGGACACTGCAGGTCCCGGGCCAGACTCAGCAGCAGCTCATGAGAAATGGGGTCCACCAGGTTGAGAAAGGCTGCGTTCTTGTACAAAATGTCATTGAGCGACGTCCCCTGGAGGCCCAAGTCCTGAGGGAGAGAGAGAGAGAAGAAGAGAGAGGGAAGTGATTTGGCTGGCTCTTCCAAGACCTAACATGCGCTGTATAAATTCAGACATTTTACCACTGGAGTTGTGTGTGAACAGTTGATTAAGGGTGGGAGTGAGAGGGGCATTAAGAGTATTTTTTTTCTTCCAAATATTAGAATTAAATCCTCTAATGAAGAGAATAATCCTGGTTCCTCTCATCACATTTGCTGATTTCACTGATTTCACACAACTCTAAACCGCCTGACGACTACTTTCCTTGCTTCCAGTTAAATGCACTTCCGCTCTCTACCTTCAATCTTCAGAATTCATAAGTAAAAGATGGTGTGATTGTGTGGAACAGTTCAATAAAACCAGGAACCAGGACACATCCCCAGGGGATGATGATATTTGTATCATCTTCAGGCCTTTTCTATTTGCCGTGACAATGTAAATATATGAAGCCGCACCTGAAGATGCGGATTTGAATGCTGACGTGTCATTAACAGCCGGTGCTTGAGACATAACGTTTTCAGACACATCAAATTGCCTCACCAGAATGCTGCATCCGCCGCCACACACACACACACACACACACACACACACACACACACACACACACACACACACACACACACACACACACACACTTTATAACAAACTAGATTAAAGAAGCAACACCAAACAGCAGAGGAGACATGAAACTGAGCAGATGAAACAAAATATTAAGGAGATTAAAGGTTTGGAGCAAGAGGAAAGAAAGTCACATGAATTATTTCTCTTCTAATCCACAACAACTGTTAAAGGATGATTTCCTCTGCTCATGGATGTTGTTATATCACTGACATAACTGCTGCTGCTGTGTAAAAAGAACAGTTGCAGTGGACCATCATCCCCTAGTTTATAGCAATGAGTGTTTTATGTCATGTAAAACTGTACAAGCTGAAGAGTAAATACTGTCCCCTCTATAGGAACTGCAACGCTTTTCAAATAGCAGGCTGGAGGGTGATGCTGTGTAAAACATGCTCTATATGCTCTGACAGCCCTAACACTTCAGGGCACAGTGGAAAACTCCCATCAGCATTTTCTCCTCCTCCAGCTTTTGAGTTGATTTATTACAGCAGAGCGGAGCTGTGGGATTCCCTGATGCGGGGCTATCCTCCAGACCAGCTCTCCCTTCAATAAACCTCATTTAGCGCAGACCGCGGGTACCCACATGTGTCCAAAAATGAGCGCACAGGAGAGAAAATTGAAGATTATTTCGCGACAATGAGGATGATGATGTTTATGTGCGTTAACCATGTTGTGCAGCTGTTGTTGTGCAGCTCTGTGGGCGATTCACAGCTGAAACTAAAATACACACAGAGATCTGATGCCATGGATTAATCTGATTGCTACTCATAAAGGCATGAAATGTTTTCATACTTGTCACCAACAGGATGCCTGTACACATGCCTGCACGACTTCAGATCCCACTACAAATGCCCTTGTGAAAGCTGCATATCTAATCTGATGTCTGCCTCATCACAAAAAGTCTGAATAAAAGCGTTGAGCTCAGAACATCATCCCACACATGCAGTTCATTAGAATCCAATTAAATATACTGCACAGTGCGACAGATCCAGTCCCACAGTTTTCTGCCTCAGTGGAAGAAACATGTCACAGCTGTCGAGTGCTGGACCCTCCAACTCTCACTTTTTTCTTTTTTCTCCCTTGGACTAAGGGATTAAATTCTTATTGAACTGACAAAATTACACAATCCAAGGTATGACGTCAACTGCACGGCTGTCTGTGTGAGAAAACATAAAGCTGTTTTCCTGAAGTTTCAGAGACACAAATGCTCAGCCAGCGGCAACAATGCTTTAGCAGAGGAGGAGGTCAATAGGTCAGCTTAGTCAGATGTAACAGGACAAATGAGGAGTAGTTTCTTCTTCACATCTCCTCTAACACATGACTATGCTAAGCTTGCTCACATCTCCACTAATAGACGCATGTGATCTGTCGCTCAAATCAAGAACCTTCTACACACATTCTACTTTTATCCAGTTTTCAAATCTAAACAAGCCCATATTTTTACTGAAATCTAATTCACCATCTAAAAAGTGAGTTTCTAATGTTCACTATGGCTTTCAAATGAATACTTAACTCCAGTACATGAATTTTCATCAGATATTCATGCAGTAGCTGCAGGTCATCGGCACCTCGTGCCAAACTGCTTGTTCGCTTTCTAGCTGAGAGTTGGATGAGAAGATTGATACCGCTCCCACTTTATGCTAGGCTAAGCTAACCAGCTGCAGGCTGTAGCCTATTTAGTGGACAGACATAAACATAAACATTTAGTTAATTATCAGAATAGTTAACCATGATTAATTTTCTGTTGATCATCTAATCATTGCAGCTGCCTGGCTAGATTTGAACTGGACATGTTGTGGTTATGGGGGCTGCAGCTTAGACCCGTTGGCTACAATGCTGCTCTGTGTCAAATGTGTTAAAATAAACAGCAATAGCTACACTTCTCTTAGTGTTGAAAGTAAAAAAAAATGTAAATTAAACTTCCATAAGTCTTCTGTTTTTTAATCTTTGCCTCAAACATCAACAACTACAGATTAATGGATACTTCAACTTCAACACAATTTGTCTTGAAGTATTTAACATTGAATGAAATAAAGAAATAAAATGTGTATCGTGAACGCTAACCTTAGACTTCATGCAACAAGGTCTTCATGCACAACAGAGAACACTTTAATTAGTGTCTTCCCCATTGCTGCACATTGGTTACTCTGTGTGCATGCTGCAGAGCGTAACTGATATGACTATTTGCTGATTCTTTGTTTACTAATGAATATCTAGAAGATCCCAAACTAATTAACTTAATGGCCCAGAAGGCAGATCTGCAATGGAGATACGGTGTGGAGGTTGGTGTTATTGGTTCCTCTTTGTAATGACTTCCTTTTGGTGAACGAAACATGTTCCAGCATCCATCATCTCGAGGTGATTATCTCCAAATCCATCCGTCCCTGAGAGGAAAAGCCTGCTTTGCTGCTGAGGCACAACAACAGGAGATCTACTGCCAGTTTTTTTTTTTCTTTTCCAGTCTTGAAGTATTATTAGTCAGACACTTGGCTTAGGCCCCAACAACGTACACCAGTAGCAGCACTCTGGCTTCACCTCAGTGAGTGATGGAGAGAGTATTCGTGCTCCGTGAGCAATGTAAATGCAGTGCCATGGAGAAAGCCGCCCGTACTCACGACCAACAAATCTACATGTTGATCTGTAAAATCCTTCTTCCTATAAGACATGACTGACTGCAGGACTGCTTTAATAAATACAGAGACACATTGAAGTCTTACAGGAAGCTATGCATGAGTCATATCGCTCCTGCTTCACACAAATATGAACATATACTTCATAGAAGTTTAAATTCATCCCACACCTACAGCATTACATCCTCAGTTAATGGTTTCAGAGCAGAGATACTTAGAAATCTGTTCAGTTCAGACTTTTTAGACACGCGTTGCGTCCCATCAGCATTGTTTCCTGCTTTAATCTGCACACATCTGTATAATTTATTCTCTGGCACTGTACAGATGGGCAGGGAGTTTTCATGACAGGGGGCCCTCTTGATCAGAACTGCTTTTGTCTGAACTTCAAAACTGTTCGCCTTTGATCAATGCACAGCTACCAGAAGGCAGTGGAAAGCTCAAGCTGAGCTCTAAAAACTATTTCTTTATTCCTCTTCTCTCTAGTTTGGATAAATCTTTGGAAAGTGAGGATTAAACCAGGGAAGGTGTTACAAGTAAGAGATTAAAATAACCTTACCTTAGCTAGGCTATTGTTTGGAGATGAGACAAAGACATGTTTGCACAATGCTGTGCAACAGGGACGGATTAGAGCTATTTAATAATACCACAGTTTGGATAATCTGTGCCTTCACATGTGGATTTGTATATTTGACATTCCCTCTTCAATCCTTCTTCACACAGGAAGCAGGTAACAAACAGATATAGCTGTCCATTCATTTAGGTTATTCACTTAGGATTTTCTTTTAATCCCTGCAGCCTTGTCCCTGAAAAGGCCTCGTTAACAAGAGTCTAGTATATCATTTAAAAATGTGACAATCATTCATTTGAGATCAGAAAGTCTGTCACATTCAAGAATGAAGGCGGGTCTTCTTTTGGATGGTTCTGGTATATTCTCAAAGGCCAGCATGAAATACACTCAGTGCTCTGTGTTGTTTGGAGCTCATTGAATATTCAGAGCATGAACCAGCTCCATGACCATTCCCTTTCAGACAAAACAGGTGGGCAATTTAGACAAGCATCTCAACAAATGAGGCGTTATAAGTGGCACATTTTTCCTCAGGAATATTAAAAGAGTCCAGCGTCTTTGGCATGTCCTTTAGGTATGACAACCACGTTTATGAGAAGTTGCAAAAAAAGTAAATGATTAAAGGATTTTAACTTTAAAAAAAAAATGATTAACATAGTGACACCTGCAGGTGCATGTGTCTGTTAGAAATAGGATTTGCTCCAGTGACTGTGGTCATCATATCTCCAGCTGGGCTTTTACTGCTTCATTCAGTCAGTGGACAGTGGGCTACATGTCAGATTTACTGTAATAAGGACACACCAGTTGGACAAACCTCTGTTGTGTTATTCATCATTTGAAAATAATGGAATGAATGAATGTTGTGGCGAGCTCGAGCATTTTCTGACTTTGGTGAGCACAAAAACTTGCTGTAGTTTCTCAGTGAATTTAAAAATCTACATGTGATTTGCAGATTTAAAAATAAATTATTTCGTGAGAGTAATAAAACTTTTTGCTCACGTGTTTATATGGAGTCAATTATATCACGTCAAGAACAAAGTTTCAAGTGCACTGACAATAAACGGATCCACAATAATGTCAGCCACTTACCTTCCTCAGCAGTTTGAGCACTTCCGCCGCCTGCTCCATCTTCTGCTCCCGGAGAAGCCTCTGGATTTCCCGGATCCACGCCACACGTCTGACATAAGGGCTGTGGTTGTTTTTCCGCAGCATCCCTGGGAGCTTGTCGGACTTGAGCATCAAGGAGGTAAACAACAAGTCTCCGCCGCCTCTGCCGACACTTCTCTCGCTTTCCCCCGGGAGCTCATTTCTCTGCCGCCTTCTCTTGGACAATTTGCTCTCCAAATCGAGACTTCTCTGTCTGGTCAACTTAGAACCCATCACTCCTGAGGGGATGTGTCGGTGGAAGTGGTGGTGGTGGTGGTGAGAGGGATTCTACAACATGCAGCCAAAACATCACACTTAAACTTGCAGCGAGATGTGCCGAAAAACATCTACCCTCACTAAAATAGTGCTGCAAAGTTTCAAGCTTCGTCAGAACTGTGAAGCCTCACCATAATAATGTGTGGCCGCCCGGTATCGCCGTCGTCCCCTGCTTGCATCCAGTCCATGCACTGCCTGAACACTCTGGCATCCTTTGCTTTACTCGGAACTGGTGCCCTCCTCAGCCAATCAGATCGCGATGCTCTGCACAGCCCGAGAGGGAGACTCATGAGGGAAACTGCTCTCAGCTTAGTTTTCTTATCTGACCCCACATCACAACGCACAGGGTGTTGATCTAACACGGAGTCAATCAGAGAAAGTAGACCTGCTTAATCCTGAATTATTGTAGGGTCTTATGTAATAATTTCATAATCTGGATAGATGGACAGATGGATAGATAGATAGATAGATAGATAGATAGATAGATAGATAGATAGATAGATAGATAGATAGATAGAAAGATAGATTTATAGATAGATAGATAGAAAGATAGGACCAATGTTTAGTTCATGTGCAACATACTCCTGGGTGCTAATTTTCTGAGCACTTGGGGACAATGGACTGTAGCCACTGTGCATTCATGACAAGTATGTAGGATGGGCATTCTGCCGCCGATGAGTAATAGCACTAAATCTCCCCAGCTGAAATTGCAAAATAGACCCCAACTATAAAGTACATCCATCAGCTATGCAGACTGTGAGCTAAACTATTGGATGCCCATTAAATCAGTAACAATATTGATCAAAACCCACGCAGATGGGCTGATGGACAGACGGGCAAGACATGACCTGTGAGTTTGAACAGCAGAGAGCTACAATTTAAAACAAGTGGATCGGTGGTGATACGTCTCCACAGAGCCAACAAAACAACAGCTGCCCTTCAGTGGTTTAACGTCTCACCCTGCTGTGGTCATCACAGCTGGGTGTGAGCACAGGTGAGGAAGACTTGAAACTCTCAGCCTGCGAAGACAACTGTAGCTTTTGTCATACTACTTTTCTACTAATTGGTATCTCATCATGACCTGGACTGAAGCCCTTCAGTGCCCTTATGTACATTGAAAACAGGTTTGGCCTGCTGTCATGATTCCTCCGTTGCTTTCAATGTAAGAGATGAGGAACAAAATCCTCAGTCCTCGTTAGGTGCAAAAACATATTCAAAATACTATAACTGTGGAAGATACCGGCGTGCTTTGTCTAACTCAGATCACTGAACCCTCATATTAGCTTCTGATACACTCTGGGATATATTTTCGCCCTTCCATCCCAATTCTTCCAGTATAAACAGGAGGGATGGATACAGCAAGCAAAACATGTTTCAGTGTTCATATGGAGGAAAAGAAGTGCTGTGAGAATTTCCTCCAGGCGAAGAAACGTCGACATCAGAGCTAAACTGAGACAATTTACAGACGATATGCTTGTACTGCTCATTTCTTCAACTGCGTTCATTTTTGCTGACAGAGATGTATCATGTTAACCAACTAAAAACACCTTATCTCTCTGTGCAGTGAGGAGGAGAAATGAGTTTGGGCCCAAGCTCTCAAAACCTAATCCACTGGCAGCCCTGTATGATACAACAGTGGAGTTTTGCAATCTGCTTACATCACCAGACAGACAAAACCCCCACTGTGATTGGGTTTAATAGGTAATATCACGTCCCAGACTAAATGGAAACAGTAGTGAGCTCTGTGCTGGAGAGTAGAGAATTAGAGTAGTCCTTCAGCACCTGGTGCATCCACATCAAGCTTGTAAAGTCTAATGTCTCTCAGTGGCTTTGTCTATTTGGATCCAGGGATTTAATTGCCCACCTCATTCTCTGGGTCGATGGTCTCTTGGATTGTCTAGATTCTTGCCCTTTCTTTATTTTGGATTTAAGCAGGATTTTGTGTCTTAGGGGGGGAAAAAACCAGCAGACTCCTCACCACAAGGTTTGTACCAATTTACATTGCCTCATTTTAAGATTTATGGGCAGAGTTTTGTTGCATATGGTTCTGCATCATGACAGCATTATCATAGCTGAAAAAAAAAACACATCCAGCCAGAAATGATTGTCAGACAGCTGCTCAAGACCTGGGCTTAAAAGTGATGTGAGTGATGATCGCTAGGCTACGATCGCTGACTATAGATTTGAGAAGTTGAAAGAAATTCTCAGTGAGCTGCCGCTGCGTACTGTACACCTAACATTTTATTTTGTCTCCTCAGAGATCCAGTGACCTCTTGGATGTTTTTGGTGCAGCATGTTGTCAGTGTTGGCAGCCGCAAGCGCGTTGCACAGGAGCAGATGTGCAACACGAGGAGAAGGAACGTTCCATGATCTTTAGTTTCAATCCTCGGCTGCTTATTCTTCCTCTGATCTGCTCGTGACACCAGTGTCAGGTGCCAGATTTATGAGCTAACTGCCAGTTAATTCAAGGTGAATCATGGGCCCACTGGGAGAGTAACTGTTACCCTTCATGCTGGTGGTCTGGGGGGTGAGGTGGTCCTCCTCTGCACAGTGTCAGGCCTGAAGCCAGACTCATTCTCTCATGTGTCCAGCATGGGAAGTGATTTATAAACCAGCGTTTCCTGCTGTTTGTTGTCGCACCACTACAGCACAGATGGCTGTGACATTTACTATCAGGCTTTGTCATGTATTCTTTATATACCCAAAGTAACTGGGTTCACAGGAGAAGACAAAAAGGAGGAAGAATGAGACGAAGATGACAACACAAAAGCTGCTTTGTGAGTGGTACTTTTCTGCATTATGCACAAGAAATAAAGAACAAAAAAAACAATGAATATGTTTTGTTCTGCGTCCTCTGAATAAAGGATGAAATAGAGAATACAGTGCAACTACTGGTTTAGCACCGAACTAGATGCCCAGGTCAACATGTTTATTATATAATTACCTCAGCATACGTGGTCCAATATACATTATTATCTGCATATAGACACTGTAATCTGTATTAAAATCTTTTTTTCATGGAATTATTAAACCAACCTTCTGTCAGTGTCAGTCGTTCCTGAGTCATTGTAATCCTCAAAAACAAACAAGAGCCATCAACTTTTCATTTAGATGAAACAATACTCTGTGATAGTTCAGCTGCCCAGATGAGTGCACTTATTTTCCTACATGCCATACCGCTCCATACGTCTCTGTTTGCAATGGAGCTTTGTCACTAACTATGGATATTTAGTAGAGCTAAAAGGCTGCAGCTGCGAAAACACAAACATTAACTGTTAGTGTTTTCACAGCTGGAATTGTCCAATTCAGGGACCAAATGAACGAAAGAGAGACTGCATTTCTGGTGACTCCTCGGATGGTGCTATCACTGTCAGTTCTAAGTGTTGCCAGGACTTTTTGGCTTTTCAAAGCTAAAATTGCACAATGATACACATTTAATGTCTGATTCTGGAAGTGTAAAGGTTTTTCAGTAGAGTATGAATGAATCTGAATATGCTCCATTAAAAAAAGGAAAAAAAAGCTCTGCTAACCTGAATAACCTGTAACCTAGACATAACTATTTGATTGGGAAACAATTTCAAGGCTGCCTGCCGGGGCTTCTTCTCTGATTGCATATGCACCACTCCTCCTCGAGCACCTTCAGGCCATCTGGAGCTTGAACAAATTAGATTTTTGAGCACTTTGTCCGCCCCCCCCCCCCCCCCATTTTCTCTGTGAACCTTTTTATTGGTGGAGCTTCTCGGGGGCGGGTGCAGTCTGGAAGCATTAGAGGGTCAATTCAAAAGGGACTTTAATCAGTGGGAGAAGGGTTTCTATTACCTGCAATAATTAGCCCGGAGATCCCATGTCAGAGTTGAGAAAGTCATCTGTCCTGTCCCCGCTGCCCTCCACCTATTGGCCTAGCTGCTTATTTAACTGACCCTACTCATCCAGCTCTGCACCCCTTCACACACTGTCCCCCCGCAGTTTGTTCTTCTTTCCTCCCCTCATGGCAGATGTGATCTTCTCCCTGCAGCCCTGAAAGCCTTCAATTTCCTGGTGAGGAGGCACTTTATTTAAAACTTAAGCTATCAAAGGTTTTGTGAGCAGTCATGCAGAAAAAAACCAATATTTATTCTAGGGCTGCGTTGCATTAGACCTGTGAAACAGGGCCCGACATTATCATTTTGTGTTGACTACCTAGAGTCATATGTCATCTATTTGAAATGAACTACCAGAAAAGTGTAGCTACTGATAGTTAATCTTTGTCATAGATAGGTTTAAATATCACTGCAGATAAAGAACCATTCATCCAGTGGATTGTTGTTTCCTCTCAGTTTCAAGGTCATGCAATTGCTCCGTGGTAGCATTAGAAAGTTATGTGAAGATTGACTACAGATGACTAATTATTTGAGTGATAACTCGAATGTCAGTCTCAAGTGGTTTCTTCTGTCTTTGTTTGCATTTTTTCTCCCCCATCGGGAGCACAGATTAGGTATTTTATGGTGGGGTGGGTTAAAGTTTAATGACTTTGTGATAGTTACACATTGAGAAGTACAGAAAGTCTATTACCTATCAGCTGCTGCAGATCGTGGCAAACGCACACAGTGAACAGCCTGTCGCTGAGGCCCCGAGAGAAACCAAGGTAAGATAGAAAATTGTTTTCCATGTTTGGAAAGGTTAATCTCGATTGTTAAGGTGGTACAATGTCTGAGGAAAATGTAATCTGAGTCACAGAAATTTGGATTCAAAATTTTCCATGTTGTTTTACCTTGAAAATGTTTGTTTTAACTTTAAATTGCTGGAGTCACTTTGTATTTAGCAGGTGATAAATTTGTATAAATGGCTGTAATGTGCAACAGAAGCTGGTGTGCTGTACAACTGAGTTGATTCACTTGCCTGTTACATAATCTGGTCTCATTCGTCTGACAGACCAAAGAATCTGTATGACAGTAGGCTTTAGGGTTTGGAGGTATTATTAAGCTAAAATACTCCAGGCTTTCTCAGTTTGATCTTATTGGATGCGGAAAGCAGAGCCAACGCTAACTGCCTCACAGTCAGATCATGTCACATGTACAAAACTGATCTGCAGTATAATGTATGATTCAGAAAACTTTACTTTGTTAGCACAATAATTTAGAGGCTTGTTGGCTAGCCAAGACCTCAGTACAGTAAAAAAATCATGTTATTT